GGGAGGCCTGTGGAGGGAGTGCCCTCCCACGGAGAGCCCCAGGACTACATGGCATCCGACCACCTCCATCCCAGACCGAGTTCGGAGGCTTTGGCACTCGGCTGGCAAGGGCCACCATGGGGGCCTCAGTGATTAACTCAGTCTCAGGAGGCCAGCATGGGGGCATCAGCAGGTGTGTGGAGGCCCAGGCTTGGGGGTAGACAGAAACGCTGCTCATTCTCTTCCTAAAAATCAAGGAGAGGCCAGGCACCGTGACTCATGCCTATAATCCCAGCAGTTTGGGAGGCAGAGGTGAGAGGATTGCTTGAGCCCAGGAGTTCGAGACCAGCCTAAGCACTATAGCTAGACCTCATCTCTACACAAAATTAAAAAATTAGCTGGGCGTGGTGGTACACGCCTGTAGTCTCACCTCCTCAGGAGACTGAGGCAGAAGGATCTCTTGAGGCTTGAAGTTCTTAGTTCATGGCAGCAGTAAGCTGTGATCATGCTACTCTACTCCAGCCTGGGCAACACAGTAAGATCCTGACTCAAAAAAAAAAAAAAAAGAATTCCGGAGTTCGCTAGCCATTTAATTTCACCTTCCAAAATGTGATCTCGGCTCTAAAACGTGTGTGCCAGGCTGTGTCCACAGGAGGGGTGCACACCCAAGTGTGACCAGGCACAGGCAGCTGCAGAGCACCCCCCAGAGGCCGATGTGGGGGTGGGAATCACACCTGCAATAGCAGCAGCATTGTTTTCTGGACTCTTACCACCTGAGCAGGGCTGCCGCTCCTGGCCAGGTGTCCACAGCAGATGTTCGTTCACTGCCATGGCTCCTCCCAGAACTCCACAGCTACAGAAAACCAAGAGCAGACCAAGATGCGGACCCACACTTACCAAAGGACACGACTGAGTGAGAACACACGTCCCACCACACTGGGACCTCTGGGGCAGAAGGGTAGGCACAGGAGGGCCAGAAGCTGCGTGTGGGACCAGCCCCCAGGAGCAGGAGAGGCACCAGGTCTACAGGCAGCACTCACTTTCCTTCTCAAGGCAAAAGAAGGCACTGTGCCAGGTGACGGCAGCTTAGCCCCTTGGCCAGTTTTTTTATTTTGGTAGAGACAAGGTCTTGCTATGTTGCTCAGGCTGGTCTTGAACTTCTGGCTCCAAGTGATCCTCCCATCTCAGTCTCCCAAAGCACTAGAATGACGGGCGCCACCCAACATGCCCAGAGGCTACGTTTCTTGAGCAGCAACCCCTAGCAAGTTTGGGGCATGCATGAAGCCTTAAGGGAGAAGATCTTCCAGGGAACATTTCTGTGGCAAAGTTCCGACTTCATGACCGGGAAATAGAGTACCTATCTGTGTTGGCAATCCTCCTGATGCTTTTCCATGGGGCCACCTGGCCAGCTTCCCCTTAGGTGCCTGTACAGAGTGGGGTGTGCGAAGGGGCCACTGCTCGGTTCACTCTTTCTTTATTTACTTATTGTTTAGAGATGGGGTCTCGCTCCGCTGCTCAGGCTGGAGTACAGTGGTGCAATCACAGTTCACTGCAGCCTTGAACTCCTGGGTTCAGGTGATCCTCCCTCCTCAGCCTCCCAAGTAGCTGGGGCCATAGGTACGCACCACCACACCCAGCTATCAGTTCATTCTTGTTTCTCCCAACACTGGAATCCTTGAGAGGCTTGGCTGTGCCCTCAGGGGTGGCTCCAGCCCAGGCAGTGGCTCATGGAGCAGCCTCGATCTGCCCGGCCCTCCACGGGTCCACCCAGCCCTCAGCAGGTGAGACTGCGTATGGAGCTCTCTGGGCCTAGAAACCAACTCCATTTTGAACAAAGTATTTTTTACACAGTCATAATACTCACTGAGCTTTCTAGGAACGCTGTCCCCAGGCAAATTAGGGAATATCTCACTTCATTGTATTTGGAACATCACTCAGGACCCACACCCACTCCTGGAAAGTCATCACAACCACACACTGTCTCACTCCAATGTGTAATGGTCAAGATCAGTGTGCATCTACTCCCGGGAATGAGGGACTGGCCATGTTCCTTCTCTACGATGGTGGTGCCTGAGAAGTCACAGATTCCACTGTGCATTTTATTAAAACTGCTAGGTCAGGCATGGGGGCTTGCCTATGATTGTGCTACTGTACTCTAGCCAGGGCAATAGAGTGAGACCCTGAAAAAAAAAAAAGGTACAGGATTTCGGCTGGCCTCAGTGGTTCAGCCTGTAATCCTTGCACTTTGGAAGGTCAAGGCGAGTGCATTGCCTGATCCCATGGGTTCAAGACCAGCCCAGGCAACTTGGTAAGACCTCATCTCTACAATAAATCAAAAATTAGCTGGGTGTGGTAGTGCACGCCCATAGTTCTAGTTACTTAGAAGGCTGAGGAGGAGGATCAGGGGTGGCCATGAGCCTGCGTGCCACTGCACTCCAGCCTGGGCGACAGAGTGAGACTCCAAAGCAAAAAAAAAAAAAAAAAAAAAAGTACAGGATTTCTTCAACCAAAGTGGACTGCACAGCTGCTTTGTAGTTGGTTATTTAAAAAACAAAGGTCAGGCACAGTGGCTTATACCTGTAACCCCAGCACTTTGGGAGGCCAAGGCAGGAGGATTCCTTGAGACCACGAGTTCAAGACCAGCTTGGGCAACATAGTGAGACTTTGTCTCTGCAAAAAATTTAAATAAAAAAATTAGGCAGGTGTAGTGCTTCACATCTGTAATCCCAGCACTTTGGGAGGCCGAGGTGGGAGGACTGCTTGAGCCCAGGAGTTTGAGATCAGCCTAGGCAACATAGCAAGACATTGTCTCTACAAATAAAAAATAATTTAAAAATCAGCTGGATGTAGTAGCACATGCCTGTAGTCCCAGCTACTCAGGAGGCTGAGGTGGGAGGACAGCTCGAGTCCAAGAGGTCAAAGCTACAGTGAACTGTGATTATGCCACTGAGACTCCGACTCAAAAAATAGAAGAATATTAAAAAAACAAAGCCTAGAGGCAAAATAGCTGAACACCACCAGGAAACTCTTCTTACTGAGGGTCTCCTCAGACCTCGTGACAAAAGAGAAGGTGCATTTGCTTAGAGGGACTCCTGTGAGGGGGTGACTCACCTGTATGTGCCCTGCCCAGGACTGGAATGCACTGAGGCCTGCCATCCCTCCAAGGATGTCCTGACCAGGGGCTCTGCTTCTCTGCAAAGAGTGTAAAAGCCCAGAGCCCCCAGCACCCTGACTGGGGCTGTCAGTTAGGGTGAGGTGCATGGGAAGGCTGTGGCCCCAGGGCCCTGACCTCAGCTTCTAGAAGAAGCAATCCCACAGTTTGGGAGCAGGACACTGGAAGGGCAGGGAGGGAGGAAAACAGTAACAATATGAAGCCTAAGAACTGTATACTCGGAGTTAGCAGAATAACAGGTACAGTTGGCCATCTAAAAAGAGAGCAAGTGGCAAAATAACAATAAGAGTACAGCCCAAATCCCGAGAACTCTTCACGCTGCACAGCTTCAGGAATAGATTTATACAATTTTTTTTCCTTAGACATGGGGTCTCACTATGTTGCCCAGGCTGACCTCAAACTCCCAAACTCAAGAGATCCTTCTGCCTTAGCCTCCTGAGTAGCTGGGACTAAATAACTATCATAACACGAGTCTTAGATGTGAGATTCACTGCCTTTAAAGAGTATTTTCTGTTTTCTTTTTTTTTTTTTGAGTTGGAGTCTCACCGCAGCCTCGACCTGCTGGGCTCCAGTGATCCTTCTGCCTCAGTCTTCCAAGTAGCCAGAATTACAGGCATGCGCTACCACGCCCGGCTGATTTTTTGATTTATTGCAGAGATGAGGTCTTGCTGCCAAGGCGGGTCTCGAACCCGCGGGCTCAGGCAATCCACTCACCTCAGCCTCCCAAAGGCGTGGGATTACAGGCTGAGCCACTGAGCCCGGCTTAAAGAGTATTTTCAAAAGTTTTATCCAAAAGTTTTAAATCTCAAGAGCAATAAAAAAATCCTAGATATATGAAAAGAAACATTTTTTAAAGCATTCTTACTCAGTTAAAAAGAGCTCAGAGCACACCTACAATCCCAGCACTTTGGGAGGCCGACGTGAGAGGATTGCCTGAGCCCATGGGTTCAAGACCACCCGGGGCACCTTGCTGAGACCTCATCTCTACAATAAATAAAATAATTAGTCAGGCATGGTAGCGCATGCTTGTAGTTCTGGCTACTTGGAAGGCAGAGATGGAAGGATCGCCTGAGCCCAGCAGGTTGATGCTGGGGTGGCCATGTGAGTGTCACTTGCACTCCAGCCTGGGCAATGGAGTGAGACTCCAACTTAAAAAAAAAAAAAGAGCTCAGAGCTCAGCTAAGACTCCTACAGCGACAGGCAGGGGCAGCTCACGCCCACCCGCTCACTCCAGGCCAATGCCACGCAAACCATAGGGAGGAGCTACAGAAGACAAGTTTAAAACAAACAGCTGAGAACTCACTGCTTTAAACAATAATAACGAGCAGAGCTCACAACACAGGAAAAGAATTTTCTCATTTTAAAACACAGACAATGAGGCTGGGCGTGGTGGTGCACGCCTGTAGTCCCAGATACGTAGGCCAAGGCAGAAGGATCGCTTAATCCCAAAAGTTCGAGGCTGCAGCAAGCTATGATTATACCACTGTATTCCAGTCTGGGTGACAGAGCAACACCCTCTATCAAAATAAAAACAACCCCCCAAACAAAAAAAAAAACTACTCAGATAAAGTTTTTGAAAAAAGAAAAGAAAAAAGGAAAGGTGGCCAGAGCCAGGCAGGGGCTGCTGTGCACAGGCCCAGTGCCTTTCCCTGGGATGTGGCTTCAAAGACCCACTGATCCAAGCACAACATGAGATGCAGCCAACAAAATGTGTATGGGAGATTCCTCCACTCTTGCCTAAAGAAGGCAGCCATGGCCCAGGCCCCAGGTAGAGGCATGCTGGGTGATGGAGGATGCAAACGCTCACAGGGAGGAACACAATTTTCTGGGCAATCAGCTAAGACAGAGCGTAGGAAAAAGGATTTATTTATTAAAGAAGCCACCCGCGAGTGACTGGTTAAATTAGTAGGGTGAGATTAACACTCTGGATTGCAACATGCCTTCGTTCACACAACACGTGGGCACTACGAGCAAACGCCAGGGCTTGACTCCAGAGCCCACGGGGCAGCCGGGGGAGGCCATGGCCCCACCTCCCAGGCAGCAGGCACCGCTGTGTAAACACCTGTTGAGGCTAAAAATACAGCCTTGCACACCGCCGCCATGGAGTTTATGAGCAACAAGGTCAGAGCGCACGCCTGGCCCAGGCCAGAGGATGAAGGTGGTCCTTCTGCCCCTCTCAGCTGCTCTTGGGGCTGCTGTCGCGGGTTAGCGGAGCAGAACAGCACCATCTACGTGCGGTTCAGTGTCTGGAAAATTCTAGAGATCTGCAGCATGACAGGTCCTGTTTCCGGGTCGTTCATCCACTGGGTGCTGTTCAGCGGGTTCTCCAACATGTCCTCAAAGGCTGCAGGAAGACAGAGAAAGCTGAGGCCATCTACACTGCTGGCAAGCAGCAGTGAAATGGCTTCAAGCAGCATTTTCAAGAGAAGGGCACCTCCAGCCTCCTCCTGGGAAGGACACCCTCCAACCTCCTCGGGAGAAGGGTGCCCTCCAGGCTCCTCCTGAGAAGAATGCCCTCCAGCCTCCTTGTGGGAAGGGTGTCCTCTAGCCCCAGGCCACAGAGAACCCAAGGCAAAACGCAAATTCTCAGCCTAAAATGCCCAGCAACGTCTGATCCCCGATCAAGTTGGCAGATGTGAAAACAGATACCCATGCGTAGCTCTACGCACCAGTGCCTGCTCACAGCACCTGTTCTGCAAAGCAGCTAGCACAGTCATCAACTCTTAAAAATCCTCGCTGCCCGGAACCCACTCCCAGTCCCACGCCCAGTCCCACCAGAGAAGATAACCAGATGCAGCCATGCAAAGGTACTGCTGCAAATTTAACAACAAATTGGAAGCACATAGTGCTCAGCCTTCAGAAAATGATGTTTTAAGAAACTAGCACATTAAGAATGTAACAGCACATCTTCAAATGAAAACTTTGATTTCCTAAACAGCTTTACAAAATCGTTTCCCCAAACAGGTCCTTTTAAGCAAAAAGCTCTCAGATTCAGCCTCACCCAGACCCAGCCATCTTGCACACACTGAGCCACCTCAAAGGAGCCCCCAGGTCATAGGATCCAGGGAAGTGTCTCTCATGGGAGTCCCGGCTCTGCAGAGTCCACAAGTCCCACAGGGCCCAGAACCGAGTGAACGTGACTTCCTCGACTTCCTCTACTCACTACATGACAACACCCCAGCCTCTCAAGCAACCCTCTGGCTTCTCCTGATTAGAACCCTCTGGAAACCAGTTTAAAATCCCAGAAAGAGGCTGGGTGTGGTGGTTCATGCCTACAATCCCAGCACTTTGGGAGGCCAAGGTGAGAGGATTGCCTGAGCCCGGGAGTTCGAGACCAGCCTGGGCAACTTGGTGAGACCTTGTCTCTACAATAAATCATAAAAAATTAGTCGGGCATGGTGACATGCACCTGTAGTTCCAGCTACTTGAAAGACTGAGGTGGAAGGATCTCCTAAGCCCAGCAGGTTGAGGGTGTGATGGCCATGAGTGCGCCACTGCACTCCAGCCTGGGCCACAGAGTAAGACTCCAACTCAAAACAAACAAACAGAAAAATAAATAAATAAAATCCCAGAAAGAGACTCCAGAAAGACAATGACAGCTTAGTGTCTGTGAGAACAAACTACACTAATGACGGCATCACAGATTCAGAGAGGTAGGAAAGGGCTAGGCACCGAGTTACTGCTTCCTCCTGGCAATCGGCAAATTAAATTCTGGAAGAAAGAGAGAGCTGAACAGAAAGATGAAAGGAGTTAACAAGAAAAAGCACCCTGATGCATGCAGGTCTGAAAAAGGACTTTCTTCCATATGTCTTAACTTCCATATTTAAAAAATAACACCCAAAATTAAAGGGCAAATTAAAAGTGTGCACCACGCAACAAGGGTAAGTATTCTTACCATATAAGAACTATGAACGCTCTAAGATTAATGTAGCCACTGAGAGGCAGGCACTGTGCAGAGGCAGCATGTGGAAAGGGTAGAAATGACCAACAGAGCAAGAGGCACCATTACTAGTAACCGAAGGAGCACCAAGGAGAGCAGGCGGGTATGAATGGGTGACTGGGAGGTGGGTTCACATGCGGGGTGACACTGTCCACAGGCAAAGCCAGAGGCAGGTGATGAGCACTAGCAAGCTCTTCCAAGTGTTTCACAAGCTGTGACTTGGTCATTTGACCTCTAGGTATTTATCCTTAGGAAACAAACCGCACCCAAAGAATTAGGTATAAAAAAAGGTTTACTGTGAACATCATGAAGTATTGTACCCAAAAAAGTCTTACTGCAGCAGTAGATCCAAAGGCCCCAAGATGAAAAACAATGGAAATGACTAAAAATAAGGGACCGGTGTCAGCTAAATGACTTACAGCATGTCAACAGAATAAACTACCCTGCACCCACTAAAACTCTTGTTTTTAAAGTAGTAGGAATAGGGCCAAGTGTGGTGGCTCACACCTGTAACCCCAGCATTTTAGGGGGTCAAGGTCAGAGGATAACTTGAGCCAGGAGGTTCAAGACCAGCCTGGGCAGTATAGCGAGACCTCATTTCTACAAACGATAAAATAAATTTTAAAAATTAGCCAGGCGTGGCGGCACCTCAGGAGGCTGAGGCAGGAGGATCATAAGCACTCAACTCCAACCTTTTCTTTTTCCCTTGCCAGATTCCTAACTAATGGGCCTAGGTCACGTTTACTTCCCAACCTGACTCTGCCAAATATCATAACAGATGAAGAAGGAAAATCAAAGTATCTCATGACCCTGTAAAGCTGTCTCCTGGGGACTCCCAGACTCCGGGCACCTGTTAAGACACTTACCTGCTCTCTCTGAAAGCCTCATCTACATATCAAGAAACTTGACTCCTTCCTCATTCCTCAAGCTGCCAGTTTCTTTTACTACTTTCAAAATTCCCCAGATAAGAGCCAGCTATTGCTACTAATTGCCAGTAAGGAAACCTTTGGCTTCACCTATGACCCTCTCCAATCTTGGAGATGTCCCACCTTCCTGGGCTGAACCAATGCAAATCTCATATACAACTTATGGTTTTATTAACTTCTGCCCTCCTAAAATGTATATAGCCAAGCTGCAATTCAAACACCATGAAGTCACCTGTATAAAGTTGGTATCAGGCCATGGGGTAAAAGCTGAAAAAGACACCTGAGCGCCGAGAAGCTACAACTCTGGTTAGAACATCACAGATTTGCCGTTTTCTAGGTTTGCTTTCACTCCAAGAGAGGGCGATTGACCATCTCCATGTTCTGGTCCTTGGGGAGGAGGAAAGCTGCCCTGGCAAGGCTTATCAACACATTTTCCCCTTTAGAAAAGGTTTTTGGTCAGGCGCAGTGGCTCACGCCTGTAATCCTAGCACTTTGGGAGGCCAAGGTGGGAGGATTGCTTGAGCCCAGGAGTTTGAGACCAGCCTGGGCAACATAGCAAGACCTCGTCTCTACAAAAAAATTTAAAAATTAACCAGGTGTGGTGGTGCTTACCTACAGTCCCAGCTACTTGGGAGGTTGAGGCAGGAGGATCGTTTGAACCCAGGAGTTGGAGGTTACAGTGAAGATCGCGTCACTGTACTCCAGTCTGAGGGACAGAGCTGGACCTATCTCTAAAAATAAAAATGTTTTTGCACAGATCTTAGGGCAGCACATAATAACATCCTGAGGCCTGTATAGCAGGAGAGAGGAGAAATACGCCTCAGTGTGAAGAAGCCCACTAAGAATCAAAATAAAACTCACAAAAGACATTCTCAAATTTTAGAATCTGAGTATGTGAACAAAAAAAAGAAGCTTGGGACCCCAGACCCACGATGCCATAGGGAAAGTTCAGCTTGGGAGCCAAGTCAACACTGACTGTCTTTGTTCCCCAACAATCAGCTATCAGTTCACATGCTTACTTTATTCATGTTAAATGCAGATATACTGGGCCCAAGATGAATAAGTAACCGACTTTTCCTCTAGTCCCTTCTTTTCACATGAAAATGTAGATGTGCTGAGTGCTAATCAGCGTCTTTAACTACCAGCCTCACTGCCCTCACCCTCCCTCCTTTTTTTACCTTCTTCTCCTGCCTGCCCTTTTCCTTTTAAATACTGAAGTTCAACTAGGTACGGTGGCTCAGTCTGTAATCCCAGTACCTTGGGAGGCCGAGGTGAGAGGACTGCCTGAGCCCGGGGGTTCGAGACCAGCCTGGGCAACTTGGTTGAGACCTTGTCTCTACAATAAATCACAACAACTAGCCGGGTGTGGTGGCGTGCATCTGTAGTTCCAGCTACTTGGAAGGATCGCCTAAACCCAGCAGGTCGAGGCTGCAGTGGCCATGAACGTGCCACTGCATTCCAGCCTGGACAAAAAGAGTGAGACTCCAACTAAAAATACATAAATACATACATACATACTGAAGTTCCCCAAAAAGAGTGAGACTCCAACTCTAAATAAATAAATAAATAAATAAATACTGAAGTTCCCCAAACCCTCTGGGAAAAGACACCATACTGTGACAACTGCTTCTTTAACACAGGCACATCCTCAGGGAGCTTATCAACTCAGAACTACCCCTGTCACTTCTTGGTTTACAGGTGCAGAGAGGAGGCGCCCTGCCTCAAACCCACATACACGTCCAGGTGGGTCATGGACTTACACAGGAAAGAAGAACCCAAAACTTACAGGAAAAAATAAAGAAAAATGTCCTTCTGACCTTGCGATAGGAAAGTTTTCTTTCAAGGTTCACATCATTAAAAAAAAAAAAAAAAAGCACAGCCAAACGGAAAGGAGGTACCTATAGAAATCTAGAATAAACTTAGTTTAGTGTAGTCTTTTTGCCTCAGCATAGCCATTTTTGCTTAAACTTTACCCCTGACATGCTTTGAATCTAGCACAATTTAGACATTAGATAAATTCCCAGTAGGCAGGTTTTAGGAAGTATTCAGACATTCCACTGAGGGCCAAGCTGGCAGCCTACCCCACCCCCTCAGCAAATCTCCATCAGATGCAAGACAAGAACAGAGGCATAGAAATGACACTACACCATCTTTTTGCTAAGGAGTTTGTGGATTGCAAACTTCTGACAAGTCTCTTGCAGGAACACACTCTCCCCTTGGCTCCTCCCATCTAGCCCACCACCATGGCAACAATCATGTGACTAACCCACCCATCTGCCTGCTGTCCATCACCTGACGTTAGTACTGGCGCTTCCCTGCCCCTTCGTGATGACATGGAGCAGACCACCACCCAATCACCTTAATGACCTTCCCCCATCAACGGGAAAGGTTAAAAGGACTCAACCATGAGCAGTCATTTGCCACTGCCTTATTAGACTCTGGTGTGGTCATGTGCTCTTTGAACTATGGCTCTCGTCATGTTTCCTGGCTTTGGCCTCCTTCTCTACCTTGGGGGGGGCGGTGAATCTCCTCTCTCTCTCTAATTTACTTTTCAAGTAAACTGTATTTTCTAATCTAACTTCTGTGCAATTCTTTGCATCTTTTATGCGGCATCGGTTCACATACCAGGCACATTCATACCTCCTGTGGGCCTGACCTAACATTCTGGAGGCCCTGGTGGGAGTGTGACCCTAATACACATGCACACATATCACAACATGGGACTCTGCGCTGCAGTGTGGGTCCATAAGCAGACACTGCACTGCAGGGTATGTGATGTAAACACCTGGGTCAGGCCAGTGGCCGGGATGTGAGGAGCCTCCTGAGTGAAGAGCGATCCAACAGAAGAACAAGCCGATACACCTCTCTGAGGTCAGTCTTTTTTTCTGAGTCAGAGTCTTGCAGCCACCCATGCTGGAGTGCAGTGACATGCCCACGGCTCACCGTAGCCTCGATCTCCTAGGCTCAGGTGATCCTCCCATCTCATCCTCTTGAGTCACTGGGACTATAGGCATGCGCCACCATTCCTGGCTAATTTTTTTAACGTTTTGTAGAGATGAGGTCTTGCTATGAGCCCAGTCTGGTCTCGAACTCCTGGGCTCAAGCAATTCTCCCATCTTGGCCTCCCAAAGTGGCGGGATTATAGGCATGAGCCACCACACCTTGTCTGCAGGTCAGCCTTAAGACCAGGGAATGACAGTCAGAGTGCCTCAAGCCCTGCCCTGACTGTCCTGGTGACTGTTGGTTTCCCACACTCAGGACCTCTGCTCCTGCAAGCCCAGTCCTTGCACTCAAATCTGGAAAAATTCTCGCCCTGGCACCAGGAATGAGAACGATCAGAGCAGCACTGTGTGCCAACAGCCAGAGTACCTTCGGATCGCAGTTCATTCAATGATGAAATACTTGACAACACTCCACACGGCATGCAGAGTCGGTCAGGGAACGTCTGCTTAAAATCTGATCGTTTACATAAAAGCAGGGACAAACAATAGGCTGTTTGGAGATACACATACATGTGGAAAAACATCACAGGAGTAAATTGATGGTGGCCTCAGGAGTAGCCACGCAGGAGGGGGCAAGGCATGGTACATGGGGGGGAGCCCGTAGCCCCAGGGCATGGGAACACTCTGCATTTCCAGCTTAACAGTCAACATCTGGCGACTAGATTTTGTATTATCTTTAACGTTACAGACATCACATACACTCTTTTTTTTTGAGTCAGAGTCTTACTCTGTCACCCAGGCTGGAGTGCAGTGGCACACTCACGGCCCCCACAGCCTCAACCTACTGGGCTTAAGTGATCCTTCTGCCTCCGCCTTCCAAGTAGCTGGAACCACAGGTGTGTGCCACTATGCCCAGCTAATTTTTTTTTTTTATTGTAGAGACGAGGTCTCACCATGTTGTTCAGGCTGGTCTTGAACCCCTGAGCCGGGCAATCCTCTTGCCTCCGCCTCCCAAAGGGCTGAGATTACAGGCGTGAGCCACTGCGTCCAGTCATGTACACGCTTTCATGAAGGTACTCACAACACAAACACAGAGACCAGAGAAGTCCCTTACAGATACTAAGAGTGAAAGCCCAAAGCACGCCTTTTCCCAATGAGCTGCTGCTGCTGTCTCCACCTTCCCAGACCCAGGCAGCTCCAAGGCACTGGTCTTTCCAAAGTTCTACAGAGCCACTGCATGGGAGACAGCCACACATGAGCACAGCCTGACTTGCGCATGAGACAACAATGCAGGAGCAGCAGCCCAGCAAGTCAACCCATCTCACAGGTGGCACTGGCTTACGGAGCACCTGCATGCCTGGGGAGCAGCAGCTTTGGCTTACCCCGAGTGAGTATGCAGAAGCACACATACCTAGCAATGTCTTCGGGTTGGTCAGGCCCAGCTGCACCACTGGGTTGTCCAGGATGGCCTGGAACAGGGGGCTGTCGGGGTCAATGCCCTTGTCCAGCTCCTCGGGGGAGGGCTTCCGGTCGCCCAGCAGCCATTCGCACTGCACAGCCAAGAGGATAGAGTGTGAGCTCCTTCCCAGGATGCATTCACTGGCACCATGGCTGGTCTCTCTCTCTGAGTGCCTGGTGCATCCCCAAGGCTTCCTGAGCTGGAAGAGGCCGTAATGTCCGAAAAGACCTGTACAGACTCAATGCACTGCATGTCAGGTCAGGGCAGGTTGGTTCTGTAGATGCTACAACTTCTCTGGCCACCCGGGATGTGGGGGAGAAATCAACAAATGCCAGCATGGCCCACCCAGGGGTGTGGGGGAGAAATCAACAAATGCTCCAAGCCCCCAGCTTTGCTTCAGGGAAAAGCCCCATATGATTGAGGTCCTGTCACAGCCAGTCAGTGGGTCTGGAAATGTCTGCACACAGATGTGTCATCCACCTTGGAGAAGTGACCATCCAACCCATAGGCAGGTGGAAGACAGGATCGGCCGCCATGGAGCCTCTCCCCAGGCAGAGCCCATCAGCAGCTGGTACGTTGGCACAGGACAGGAGTCAATCTTAGAGTTCATTTAATAAGATGAATGAGAGACCTCGTCTCTACATAAAATAAAATAAATTAGCCAGGCGTGAAGGTGCATGGCTGTAGTTCCAGCACTTTGGGAGGCCAAGGTGGACGGATCACTTGAGCCCAGAATTTCAAGACCAGCCTGAGCAACATAGCCAGACCTAGTCTCTACAAAAAAAAATCATACACAAAAAAATTTGCCAGGCACGGTGGCACATGCCTATAGTCCCAGCACTTTGGGAGCCTGAGACAGGAGGATCATCTGAGCCCAGAAGGTCAAGGCTGTGGTGAAACGTGATCATGCCACTGCACTCCAGCTGAGCGACAGAGTGAGACCCTGACTAAAAATAAATGAAAAAATAAAAATAAGAGAAATGAACAAACTCCCCCTTCACTATAGGATATGCACACATAGGCATTGATTCCAGAAGGCAAAGCCCAGTATGTTCTCAGCATCATGAGAATTCTACACTATCTGGTCATCTGGCCCACGGCCTCACTTATGAAGCAACACAACCAACTATGTGAAAGTGACAACACACAGCGTCTCCATCATGCATGCCCATCTTCATGGTACTCACTGCAGCGTTCTGCTGGTTGTTGTTCACCCTGAGGGCGTCTATCACCTCCTTCTCGTCAAACCCCATCTCCATCAGGGAAATGACAGCCTAGACAGAAGCACAACCATTAGGTCCAAGAGCTGCCCCGTGCCTGAAGCACTGTATGAGCAGCACTGCGGCGGCAGGGGCTGGTGCTCGCCACAACCCATGGGTACTACTCCACGTTCTCTCTGTGCAGCCCCGTGAGGATAGCTCTTACTTTAACACCTTAAAGCCTGGGAGGTAAGGCTGTGACTGTTAGAGACCCAGGAGTCAGCAAAGCTCCCAGTTCACCTGCAGTGAGCCACAGGGGGGAAGCTGTGGTAGGGTTTGGGCAGAAGGGAGGAAGTCGCAGGTGGGAAGGAGAGGGAGCCACGGGCAGGCATGGGCGCAGGTGGGCAGGCGAGGGCCTGAATGGACAGGAGGGAGGGAGCCGCGGTCAGGCATGGGTGCAGGTAGACAGGAGGGAGGGAACTGAAGGCAGGCAGGGCATGGGCAAGCAGGAAAGGGGGAGCCATGGGATCGTGGGATGCAGTTTCCTGTGGCTGAGGCGGGGGACCACACAGGGTCACAACCTTCAGATCACCCCAAGGACTCCATCTCAAGGAACCCCAGCGAGCTCCCCCCAAGTGCCTATTATCCAAGACGTGGCAACAGAGAAAGGTCAGTCCAATTTACATGGAGACAAAAACATCATAGCAACATGTAAAGAAAGGTTTTATCCAGATCTTATCTTAGAAAAAAAGATAAGAAAAATTTTAAACTTCTAATACTTAACAAAACTCTAAGTATCAATGTATGTCAATTCTTAGAGCAGACTATCTATGACCTAATCTTTAGTGTTTTGGGGATAGAATGTACATTTCAGGACAAAAATCATATAAGATGACACATCCTTTACCCCAGACTGATTTTATTTTTTTACCCGACTTTAATAACACAATGTTTCAAAAGGCCAATTTGCAAAAATCATCAGCTTTCCAAGGATCTCTCCTACTCCCTGAAACATCAAAGCCCATGCTCCCAAAGCCCCAGAGCCCCCTCTTTCTGTTTCCTCACCGCCATCAACCACATTGTTCTCCAGATGCTCCTACAGAGTCCCAAAACTCTGCACCCCATGGATGCACACGTCCATACGCAGTCAGTCTGACTGGACTGTTGGGTGTTTAAAGAGACCCCCAGAAACAGGCATTGGCTGAGGGTAGAAGTCAGGAAAGATGCTGACTGGAGCCAGCTGTGCATGAGATGAGTTTAAGTTCACACTCCCTAGATACAGCCAGCCACCCTTGCCTCCTGGACCCCATCCTAACTCAGGGTCCCACAAATGGATACTGGGAGAAGAACCCCCGTAACACCAATATAGGGTCATCTACACAGCCTGGAACCTGCTGCTAAATTCAAGGACAGGACCCTTTCCCCTATCTGTCTCAGTGCTGGCAATTCCCCAAAGCTTCCAAGGTGATGTCAAGCATCTGCCCTCATTCCCAGCCCATGAGGGAAGACTTGCCCCTGGGCAGCAGCAGAGGGCCCTCCACAGTGGGTAAGGCCTTGGACAGCACCACGGACAGCGGTCACTCCCACTACCACTAAGGGGAGGGACGGCAAAAGGTTCCTCCGCCTCCAGTCCAAAACTCCCTTCTCAGTAACTAAACGAACACCTCAACCCTTGTCGGACACCTGTCTGATCTCACCACTGGGACAGCAACAAGGGGAGAAAAGCTGATACGCTGGCCCTGCAAACCATGACTTTATGGGCAATTGTCACCAAAGAAGACACAGAGAGGTGGTAGGAGGACCAGCAGAAGAGAAGTACCTTAGGAAAGTGGGTGCATTAAGACTGTTAGGAACAGACATGTATTGTAACCAAGGAGGGTTAAGAGGGCAAGAAAGAATCAGAGCTGGGCAACCCCCTCAGGTCTCTTCCTGCTCTGGGAGATTTTCTGTCCTCTCAATAAATCCTGCCTTCTAAAAAATAAAAAAAAAAGAAAAGAATCAGAGCTGAAGCTCACTGGGACCATGCAGGATCAAGATGCCGGGAAGCAGCAATCCCAATGCAGAGCACAAAGAACCCACCAGAGTGCAACGGCTCCATCCCTGACAGGCCTCAGGACCAGATGTGACTTGGCCCTTTGGAAGGCTACGATAACCAGATAAGCGTTCTGCTAAACTTAGAAACACTGGGCTAAAACAAAATGCTTCTGGGTGCCTGGCTAAGCTCACAAGAAACGGAAGCCACAAGGAGAAGAACACAGATGAAAGAAACTGACTCCACGAGCGGTTGTGGGCAGGACTGCCCAGGGAGGGGGAGATATTGCCAGGGCTTGAGGGACAAGGTCCAATGTCCACACCTTGAAGAGTGGACCTTGGACCATGCCAAGTGGGGAGTGGGAGCTACCTCTTGCTTAAAACCAGGGTCCAAGAAGATGGACTGGAAGAGCATCTGTCTCTGCAGGGCCCTGTAGAGAAAGGAACCAAAGGCACAGAGCCACGGGTCTCACCGTGCGGCACAGGGCTGGTCCTGCCAGGACAACAGGCACAGAGAGCTCCACTCAGCCCCAACAGAAGCAGACTGAGAACCACCAGGGTGGACTCCCACGACCTGGCCACATGGGATTCCACAGAAAACAAGCCTCACAGGCAGGGCCACAATGAAGCGTCCACCACACCTTGAGAAAACCACCTATACTCACGTAGGAACAGAAGCACATGGAATAAAGAAAATGTGAACAGGAGACCTCCAAGCGGGAAGAAGATGGAAGCATGTCAAAAACAAGCAAGACTCTTGAGCCTGATCAAAGAACAGGCCAGTGAAGAAAGCACAGAGACCACAGGGACCTGAGCGTGAGGCCAAGGGGAAGAGCTGGACCACATGCACCATCAGCTGGCCAGTCCAAGCAGCATCACATGTAAGTGATCCTGAGGTCTCTGTGGCTTTTCAAAAGATGACAGACATGTCAACTAACAAGCACTGATGGAAACGCAGCGCCTATACTCAACCTCCCAGTGTTCGGGAACTCACACCCACCACCCTGGGCCTGTGTGCTACTCCGTCTCAGCTTGCTACTCGACACCGCTCTGCCCAGCAACAGGTCCAGCACACATACCCGAGCATCAGCCCGAAACTCCCTTTTCCTCCGAATCTTCTTGAAGATTTCTGTCAGCTCGTCTCTGGCCTCCTCATCAGCAGCACTAGGTCCAGCTGCAGCCTCAGACACAGCCTCTGTGGCCCCTGGAGAGGCCTGGCCTGGAAGGGGTGTGTCTATGGTGGGGTCCTCTGCATGCTCAATTAGCCACTCCATGGCTTGAGGCACCGACATGCTGAAAGGCATTGAGAGATGCTGGCCCACATTCCCAGGCAAACCAACCTGACGCTCCCAGGAGAACTGATCCCATGCTCCCAGGCTAAGAGATCCCATGCTCCCAGGAAAATTGATCCCATGCTTCCAGGCAAACTGATCCCACACTCTCAGGCTAAGGGACCCCACACTCCCAGGTTAACAGATGCTATGCTCCCAGGCTAAGTGATCCCAGGCTCCCAGGCTAAGTGATCCCAGGCTCCCAGGCTAAGTGACCCAAGGTTCCCAGGCTAAGTGATCCCACACTCCCAGGCTAAGTGGTCCAAGGCTCCCAGGCCAACTGACAGGCCCTTGTCTCCTGCACATGCCCAAGAATGGATGTCTCTACTTCCTGACATTCCTAACTCAGCTGGTGACTCTCACAGTGAGAATCTGAGTGAACATAGGTGGGACTGAAGCTCTGGTTCTTGTCTCAAACTCCCTAGGCCTGAACCAAACACTGAAACCATACACTAGGTAAGGAGCAGGGCCAGAAGAGACATAAGGAGAGTTCAGGTCCGAAGCACAAAGGAACATGGCCCCTGATTGTCTCCTGGCTGTGGATGAACACAAAAGCAGGAACACAAAACCAAAAACACGTAATCTAAAGTGGGAATGTCCATGCTGTGAACAGGCTTAAAGTAGCAGTCCAGTAGAGATTTACATAATGATTATTATATATCACATTCCTGCCTCAAAATACTTCTGGGACATGTATCTAAGGTATCTTTTTAAAAACACACATTAGAAATGATTCAACCTGCCAGGCATGGTGGCTCAGGCCTGTAATCTCAACACTTTGGGAGGCCAAGGTGGGAGGATAGCTTGAGTTCAGGAGTTCAAGACCAACCTGGGCAACAGAGCAAGACCTCACCTCTACAAAAAAATCAAAAAATTAGCCAGGGGTGGTAGTGTGCACCTGTAGTCCCAGCTACGCAGAAGGCTGAGACAGATGGATTGCCTGAGCCCAGGAGGCAGAGACTGTGGTGAGCCATGATTATGCCACCGCACTCAAGCCTGGGAGACAGAGTGAGTCTCCAATTAAAAACAAAACAAAAAAAAAGGCAATTTAACCAAGCAAACAGTTCGGGACAGGAGATGTCACAGGGGAGCCTGGGCACCGAGGGCAGGAGGTGGAGCAGCCTGGCGTACTGGTTCAGCCGCAGTGCCTTGGTGGCCCTGGTCTCAGGGAAGCCCATCTCCGTGAGCTGCCGTAGCGCAGCCTCGTCCACACGCCCGTCTTCATCCTCATCCAGCATAGCTGTGGGCAAGAGTAAGAGGCACGTGAGGGGCTGCCCTGAGCCTGGGGCCAGCTGCCCATTGTGTACCAGGTACTTTGGCAATTATCTAAAGCCTCAGAACCATGAGGTCCAGCCTCTAGCCTCCCACAGGCACACGAGGACAGCAGCAGGCAGGCCGCCAAACCACACCCATCCACCCAGCCTCAGCACCAGGGCTGCTGGCCTGCCCTAGTGAGCGCCAGCAAGCACACAGAGGCACGCGGGCGCCACGGCCCTGCCCACCGTTTGCCTTCTTGAACAGCTCCACTGCATCAGGGTTCAGCGCCAACAGCTTCTGCGCCACCTCAATGAGTGACACCAGTATTTTCCGGAGTTCTGTCTGGAACTGTGGTGAACAGAAAAGGAAGTCATTTCTCCCAATATCCAACCAACCCACATGGACCTACAACCCTGCTCCCATCCCAGAACTCTAAATCTGTGAGCATCAAAACCACACGCTTCCTTCAGGAGAAGGAGACCAGCGGGTGGGGGGGTGAGGGAAAGGGGAGGTGGTCAGCAGAGAGCCAGGCTTCTCTGCAGAAGGTGTCCTGGACAGGGTTCTCAGCCAGTGACACAGGAACGCCCACGGTCACTCTGCGCTGGTGCGACGCTTAGCCTGTGGCTGGTGAGGCCACTGCTGTCTAGCCAGCTGGGGCCGCATAGGCTGAGGCCCTTGCTCTGGCGGGTCTGCCGTGGCCCATGAGGGAGGTGACCAGAGACCCTCTCCAGGCCAGCTCCTGCTACTGTACCTCCCTCACACACGCCTATGCCTTGGCAGGGACACCACACTGGAGTACACATCCCTCTG